GTTATATAGGTCCTCCTTCTGTTTCTGATGGCAACATGATATCCTGTTACAGCACAACAAATCAACGGTTGTGGCTAGAGGGGATCCGACGGGTTCTTCATGAACATGGCTCTTACATCCTTCTCGTTGTTGAGCAACTGGTGGGTGATAATTCTCGTCATCAAACTTTTCACTCTTTATATTTTACAATTTTAGGTTGGTGTATGTCTTTTTATTTTTGCCCGACCGAATCTTGCTCCTTTTATAAGGGATTTTGCTGTTTCGTCTGTAAAAACGGGTATGGGAGGAGCAACTGGCAACAAGGTTCGTTCTGCATTATACGTAATTAAAAAATGTAAGGCCATATTTGCAGGGCTCCGTTGCTTTCCGAATGGTTGTACATTCTACGAGCTTTTGTTTTGTATGCTCGCATTTCGCTGCTGGACAAAATGAGGTAAACTCTTAACGATCTCATACATATCGGATATATGAGAAGATTATTTTTCTGAGTTGCCCGTTGGTGTAAGACGGACAAGTCGGAGGTATTTTTGGTTAAACTTATAATCATATATTCTATGATTATAAACCTTCGGTTATAGAAGCACTGGCTTGATAATTATGAGAGCTGTGTTTTGCAGGTGAGAGATCGTAATGAAGACTTCACTTCTGCTTTAAGAAGAATCAAATTCTCTCATGGAAAGGACATTGAATCTCACGACATTATTTTCTGGTTTGGTGATTTCAATTACAGGTGTGTAGATCTGTTATAGTAATTCATACAGCAGTTTTATGAGCCGTACATATCGTTAGCATCAATACACGTTGATGGCAGTGCTCTTCTCTTCCTGCCTCCTTTAAGTTTGCTATGTAGAAAATTTGCATAATTGAAACTGTACATTCACAGACATCTAACGGGGAAAGAATATTAAATGACCTTCACAGTTTGAAGAGCCATGAAATATTTTTAAATTCTTCTTCCTTATCTTCAGATGTTGTCTGAAAGGAGTTATGTCAGCCGTTTTCTGCTAAGGACAGTTTGAACGATCTGTCATTCATTATTCGTACCCTTGACTTGAAACCAAAACGCCAATGCGAAGGCTCATCCTTGACCAGGATAAGAAATCCTATCCTACCAACCTGTTTCGTCCTCTGTTATGAACTCTGTTAGTATGGCAATATATGGCAGATTGTGCCAGGCAAGACACCTTACAAAAAACGAATACCCTCTTGCAATTCTAGGAAGTCACAGAGACTCCCTCGTAACCTGTAGAAGCGCGCAGGTAAATTTGTGCAACGCTTTTGCTAGAAGCTTTTTTTCCTTGTACATTAGTCTGGAGCCATAGCAAGGAAAGAGCAATTGCTTTGTCCTAGTTATTGCGCTATACTTTGGGTCGGAAGTACGTAAGAAATGTTTAGTAGAGGGGAAGCGAAATTATAAGTGATAAATAAGGGAGTTCGCTAATTAAAGCCCTGTGGTGTACCCAGGTCTGCGCCGTAGACCCATATCATAAAAAGATAGAACGATTCTTCATTTGCACAAGTTATAAAAATCATTACAAGAAGTCGTTGAGCTTCTTGTTGCGCATCTTCATCCCAAATTCGGGGGCTGTTTATCGGATACTCACCTAGAAAGATGAGTTTAAGTGGGTTATTGAACATGCACGCTCGGCTTTTCAGCGCAGATGCGTGCGTCCGGATTTGCGCGGCTTTTCCCAGCTCACTTTATTTACATTTATATTGTACTCTTTTTATCGAATAGTACACATTTGCAAAAGACCACGTAATTTAGAGCCCAACACGCAGGTGTGCCCCTAGAGGCAACCAAAAATACTGACATGCACCTGTTTTGTGGACGTGTTTAGTAGTGATTAGGAAGATGGTTGATGAGTAGTGGGGAGGGCAATACGATCTTCCGCTCGCTTTTCTCTTTGATACCTCCGGCTTGTCCTCCGGAGACCTGCCGCGGATCCGTAGATCGTGCACGCCATTTTAAATCTTTCATAATTTTCTTGGTTTTTCAAAAATAGACGAGACGGTTTTGAGAATAGTGTAGAAGGCCTTGCCAAAATCACTGAAAATCGTCCAAAGCAGTTAAAAATGATGTGCAGTAACAGAAAAATATACATTGCGACTAAATAAAGCCCTCTTTAGAAGTTTTTGGATTTAAAGTGGATTTGAAAGCGGGATTATTTCTAGAGGTACAGTATTTCATAAAGACTTGGGGTTACGAATTACTAAAGCTTTGCAATGTACAGGTATAAATTATACATTCCTAAATTTATAGACATGTTATTGTTTTCAGTAAGATACATTAACATACCCTCTTCTGATAGCATTTTCGAAAGGATTGTATGACCACGGCGGCCGCAATAACGAAGAACTTTCACAAAGAAAAGATTTGCTAAGTCGCATGGGGGGAGGTGGAGACCTGCGAGACAATTTACTGCAAATATCCTCTCAAAATGAAGAAAAAGATATTGAGTATGATAGGTCTGCTATCACATGACAACAACACAAAACAACAATGAGTTCTTCTTAAAGAAAAGTCAGATTTGGTGGGAAAAAGTTACGCGTTTGAATTTAGCAGGTCAGAAAACTGTTGCATTGA